TTTTTGAGACAGAGTCTTGCTCTGTCGCCCAGGCTGGAGTGCAGTGGCGCAGTCTCGACTCACTGCAACCTCCACCTCCCAGGTTCACGCCATTCTCTTGCCTCAGCCTCCCCAGTAGCTGGGACTACAGGAGCCCACCACCACACCCAGCTAATTTTGTTTAGTAGAGACAAGGTTTCATCGTGTTAGCTAGGATGGTCTTGATCTCCTGACCTCATGATCTGCCCCCCTCAGCCTCCCAAAGTACTGGGATCAAAATGCTTTCTAATTTCCTTTTTGATTTCTTCTTTGACCCATGGGTTACTTAAAAGTATGTTATTTAGTTTCCATATATTTGGGTGTTTTCCAGAGGTCTTTCTGTTTTTTGTTTCTCATTTAATTCCATTAACATCAGTTAATACATTTTGTATGATTTGAACCTTTTAAATGTATTGAGACTGGTTTCATGGCCCAGAATATGATCTGTCTCTGCAAATATTCTTTGGGCAATTGAAAAGAAGGTGTCGTTTGCTCTCATTAAGTGGAGTTTTCTATACGTGTCAATTAGGTCAAGTTGGTTGACTGTTGCTCTTCTATATTATTATTGATTTTCTCTCTACTTGCTCTATAAATTATCAGGAGAACAGTATCAAAATTTCTGGCTATATTGTGGATACATATACTTCTGTTTGCACTTCTCTCAGTTTTTGCTTCATATAATTTGGAACTCTGTTGTTAGGGGTATGAATGTTTAAGATTGTTAGGCCTCCTGATAAATTGTCTAATTTTTTATTAGGAAATTACCTTTCTTATGCCTGGTGATATTATTCCATTTTATCTCTTGTGTTGGCTTACTAGCTGTAACTCTATGTTTCATTATTTTAGTGGTTGCTTTAACATTCATCGTACACATCTTTAAATTACATAGTCTACCTTCAACTGGTATTATACTACCTCATGTATAGCATAAGAAACTTACAGTAGTATACTTCCACTTGTCTTCTCCTAGCTTTTGAGCTTTTTTTTTTTGAGATGGAGTTTCACTTTTGTTGCCCAGGCTGGAGTGCAGTGGCGTGATCTCAACTTACTGCAACCTCCACCTCCCAGGTTCAAGCCATTCTCCTGCCTCAGCCTCCCAAGTAGCTGGGATTATAGCCATGCGCCACCACGCCCTGCTAATTTTGTATTTTTAGTAGAGATGGGGTTTCTCCGTGTTCATCAGGCTCGTCTTGAACTCCTGACCTCAGGTGATCCCAAGCTCAGGTGAACTGCCTCAGCCTCCCAAAGTGCTGGGATTATAGGCATGAGCCACTGCGCCTGGCCAAGCCTTTGTTTTCATATAATTTACTTTGACATACTGTAAACTCTACCTTATATTGCTATAAGTTTTGTTTAACCAGTCAATTATTTTATAAATACATTTGAATAATGTGATAAAAGAAATTCATGTAGTTACCATTGACGGTGCTTTTCATTCCATTGTGAAGATCCACATTTTCATCTGGAATTACTCCTTCTGCCTAAAGGAGTTTAACATTTCTTACAGTGTGGGCCTGCTGGTAATGAATTGTTTTTAGTTTTTTTTGTCTAAGAAGTCTTCAGTTTTTATCTTCATTTTTAAAAAATATTTTAGCCAGGTATAGAATTCTAGGTTGACTTTTTTTCTTTCAATACTTTAAAGACATTACTCCATGGTCTTTCTGTTTGTCCTATGCCCAATGAGAAAATTACTGTTATCTTTATTCCTTAGTATATCACATGCCTAAAAGAAATCATGTATTCATACCAATATAATTTGAATTTCAGATTATTAAGTTTTACTTAACATTTTGGGGTTTATATTTTATGTATTTTTTTATACTGAAAAAAAATCTTGGCTCCTAATAGTAAATTATTTGCATACACACATATGTGTATGTATTAATAGTTCTAAAGTAACAATATAATTATTACTACTAGCAATAATACTACCTAATGCAGATTAAGAATTCTTTGCATTTTCCCCCTTCTAGAATATATGGTAGTAGAAAGTTACAGTCAAAATACTATGCTTTAAAGTCACTTGAAATAATTTGTCTTCATATTGTTATGAGTACTAAGTGATACACATTTGATGTTTGTTTATTTCAGTTTTTTTTTTTTATTTTTAGTGATTTACTCTTTAAGAATTTTAAATTGTGTAAAATATTAACTTTTAAATGATGTGAAATATTAACACAGTTCCAAAGTAGCATTATGCTGGTAAATGTTTATAAATAAAAGACTGGATTTTGTCAATTTTTATGGTATACATATTACCACCATGACTGATTTTGAGTTATCAATGTTATAACAGTTAATGCAGAATTTGGAAGAATTTGGTAGTACACCATTATATAGGAGTTGTACCATGCATATATGACACATATAAAGCTCAGTAGCACAGATAATTGTAAAATGTATAAAAATAATTAAAACATGAGTTTTAAGTGTTTATCTTTTTAAATACAATTTATTTCATATTAAGTTACATAATTTAATCTTTGATAATAGCTGTTTCATAGCTGGCTCACAAAATTCCTGAAAATTTAACTGGCTCTTGCTAGCTGGTATAAACTGGCTTTAGCACACACCTCTGTTTCAAAGTAAAAACCACAAAACAAAGTAAATCCAGAAAAGGATTGCTTTCATGTGCTTTCTATCCCATTTCCTCCCTCCCTATATGAGAGGTAATTGTTTTCGTCAGATTTGGTCTCATCCTTTCATGGTTTATTTTTGAAAATATAAGCAAATACAAGTATATAGTTCCTTAACCAAAAGATAGCACACAGTAAACACAGTTCTGCTTCCTTGTAGGTTAGAATCTTGATTCCTGTTAAATTGCAACTCTTATAGGAAAAATAAAGGGGTGCATGTGAAATAAAGAGGTGCATGTTAAACTATCACTAGTTTCATACTTCAGTAGAAATTAGTTTCCTTGTCTTTTTTGAGAGCTGAGAAGTGTCTGAATGGGAATGGAAAAGTTTTCTTTGAGAATAGGGATGAATTCAGGAATCTGGGAGCATCACAGGCAAACTTTACAATTTTACTTGGCATCAGAGGAGTGGGAAGGCAGGCGCTGGCAACCTGTTGAGGTGGCGAGGCTGCATGGATGAGTGCTCAAGTGCTGGCTTATACAGTATAAATCCAGCTACTTTCATTGTTATAAAACGTCTTGCCATCAGAGGGGGTAGAGTTTTATGTTTTAGTTGGACTTCTCAGCTGAATTAAATGTGATAAGGCTGTGCTTATCACCCTTGTGAAAGTCATTTCTGCAATATTTACACAAACTCTATGAGACTGAAATCTTTTATTGATTTTCTGTTTGTCTCTGATAAATGTTTCACTGAGAGAAAATGACTGAGATCTTGGAATTCACGTCTTTATCACATGACTGCTTCCAAAGTCATGAGTAGTAGTTGTTGTTGTTGTTGTTGTTTTAACAAACCTCTTTATTTCCTACAATAAGTATATTGACAACCCTGGTGCTCTTAGCTTATTCTTGCCCCACAAGCACAAAGAAACAGATTGAAGGCTGTGGAGTAGTTCACTGAGCCCAGCTTTCCTTACAGGAGGTCCTTAATCCCTTAGGTGGGAACATTTTTTCAGAAAAAGACTCTCCTGAACGTTTACTGACTTTCCCCATGGCCTATTAAGTCTTAAATACAGGTACTGTGGGGCAGGTCAAACATTCCCTTAAATTCTTTCAACTTCAGAATTATTTAATGTGACAATCGTCATGATGGCATCGTAGAGTCAACCAATGCCCACGCTGCCTGGATCTCACCATTCCACAACTCTCTTTAGCAGCTTCCTTTAATAGAGAGCTTAAATCTGCCCCTTGGGAACTCCCAACTTCCCTCTAAATGTGATTAAATTTTGTATTTAAGTATTTAATTATTTTTTAAACTAATTTCTGCCTCTAGGTGTATGGTAAACTAAACAATCCAAAAACCATGTAGCTCCACAATAATCAGAAATTCTGGATCCAGTAAAACAAGTCTCCTTTAAGACACGGCTGAATGCTGGAAGAAAGTACAAAAAGTTCCTGGAGTCAAAAATGAAGTGAGAAGGAAAAATGAGAGCAGTGAGTACGTGCATGTATGCTAGAGCCACTCAGGGTGGGAGTTGCCGGGCTCAGGCACCTAGAGGCTTGGATTAGTATGCTCAGGCCAGGGCAGAATGTGAGGCCTGGAGATGCAGAATGCTGGGTGTTGGAACTGCAACCCCTGTAGAAATCCTGGTCCTCAGAAGGGCTATACTCAGAGTGAGGGAATGAATCAGGAAATGCACCCGTGGGCTCAGGGAGACAATAAAGGTGATATTCTATCTCAGTAGTCTGGGTTCTAGGGGACAAGTTTCCCTTGAGAGTTTGTAACCATGGGTCTGTCATTCCATTGGTTCTGAGAACCTCCAAACTGAGAAATTAACATAAACTGAGATGCAGGCAGTAATTCCCCTTGGGCAGCTAACAGAAACAAGGGCAAAACCTTCCTGATCTAGAGGATTAGGGTTGTCCAGGCCCCTTGGGATTCCCTCCAGCCGTTCCTGCATTTGAAGATGCATTGCTCTTAAGCTCTTATTCTCATACTTTTAAGTTCCAATGACCACAACTCTTTCAACAGATTTTTATAGGAGTTTCCAGAAACTTCATCCTGCTCATTTTTTTCTGTGTTGTCTCTAATATGTCATGTTTCATTTAAAATGTATCCTTTTCCTCCAGTTCAGACCTATAGGTAATACACCAGAAATTGTCTAATGTGTGGTATAAAATAGGACCATGATAAAAAAAAAAAAAAAAACAAAGTAATAAAAAATTATATTACTATAATTTATTAACGTCATATCCCTATAATAAAACTTTTATCATAATAACAGCTACAGTTGAGTATGTCTTATGTGCCAAATACTATGTACTAGACATGCACTGTCCTTTTTAATCTTCAGGAAACCCTGGGATGGGTTCTAACACTACCCTCCTTCTACAGATGAGGAGAGAGAGGCTTAGTAACTTACTCGGGGTAATGGAGCTGGGAAGTGGTCACAGAGTGGCAATGTGTTATCACCAAAGCCAGGATTTAAACCAGCCCTATCTACCTTCAATGCCCTTGCTTTAAGTCACGAATCCTCCACCTCTCTTACCTGGTAGGGCATCCACACGCAAGTTCCCTTGTTAGTGACTATCACGCTCTTGAAAGTGTTTGAAGCGACCTAATATCCCTAGGATCCTTATTTCTTTAAACATTTAAATCACAGTTATTTTTCCCAAAGATAGATTGCCATGGGAGAGGGGAACAAAGACGAAGGAGGATGGTACAGGCAGGAAGGGGGCAGAGGACCAGAAACAAAGGCAAAGATAGGACCGGGTGGGGACACGGGAAATTTATTTTGCTTACTTCACAAGCTTAGAGCCGACCCGCTCTGGCAAGTGACAAGGTGCCTATGGATGACACAGCCAGGGATTCTTCTAGGCCATGCAAATTTTCAGTTGCTTTTGATTTCTTACATTTTTTTGAACGTAATACTAGATTTCTGAAACGGCTCTCACTGACGCGCCTGTTTCTCCCGGAGCCGCGGCTCCGCAGCTGAGGGCATTTGTGTTTGGGAAGCCTGCCCCCTCCTGGATTAGTGAAACCTTACAGGCCACGTCTCCAAGCTCTCCAAAATGAGATCTAGTGTGTGAAAACGTTTAAACTGTTATTCAGAGATTTGAGGAAAATAAATAAATAATCTTTTTCATATGATTTCCCTGAGATTTTTGGATTATTCTCATATAAATCTTTAGGTGGATTTTATGGATTTTGAAATCATACCCACCTAAAAATCCTGAAAAAATGTTTTAAGGACCCAAAGAGATAATAATAACAGCAATAATGATAAACATTATATTCAGTGATTTCTATGTGCCAGGACTGTGCAAAGTACCCTGTGAACAATGCCAATTGCAGCACTCACCACCACCCCAAGAGACAGGTTCTCTGCATTATTACCCCCACCTTACAGAAAGCCTTGAAGCAGCAGTCCCCAACTTTTTTTGGCACCAAGGACTATCTTTGTGGAAGACAATTTTTCCACGGACCAGGTGGGGGATTGGGCGGGGGTGGTTTCAGGATGAAACTGTTCCATCTCAGATCATTAGGCATTAGATTCTTATAAGGAGTGTGCAACCTAGATCCCTCGCATGCACAGTTCACAATAGGGTTCACGCTCCTATAAGAACCTAATGTCACTTGCTGATCTGACAGGAGGCGGAGCTCAGGCAGTAATGCTGACTCTCACCAGCCACTCACCTACTGCTGTATGATCCCGTTCCTAACAGGCCACGGACTGGTACAGGTCCGCGGCCACGGGGACCCCTGCAAACTGGAGAGCTTCTCTACCACCACCCTCACACACCCAACCACCCATAGGTTGGGAGCCCCTGAAATTCTTGAACTGTCATGCCATCTATTGACCACACTCGACTGAATCAGAAATAATCGACCAAGCTGAGTTACTTGGATACTTTCTCCTGGGAATTTGGAAGCAGAATGAAAATAGCCATCAGTCTAGGCTGGTCACTTGAATGGAGGTCATCGAACATCAGGAGCCTACTGTGGAAGAGCATCTGCTGCCATGGAGAAGCAGAAAAAGACACCCAGGAGAAAGAGAAAAGAACAAAGGGGAAGCATAGGAAAAAGCCAAAAAGACAACTTCCCTTTTCTTAGTCCCAGTCCCTCCTGAGGCTCCCCTGCTGGTTACACTGATTTGGCTACTTGAAATAGGTTTGTTTTTGTCTATCAAAAAAAAAAAAAAAGGGGGTATAACACTAAGTCGTGTGAGCAATAATATGTAAAAGTGAACCAAATCTACTGTTACAATGGTATAAAATCTGAAGTTAATATGGCACATTGAATGATGTGCATAATTTTATTGTACTCCATAGCAATTAGGCTCAAATAGGGAGCAATTAATGAAAATGACTATAATTATTATCATGTCAACAAAGCCAAGCCAAGCAATTCCAAAGTCAGCTGTAGGCAGGAGGAATTAGAGACAGCAGGAAATTGTTCTGGGGTTCCTCGGAAGGACCTGGGATTTAAAAACCAGGAGACTAAGTCCTCCCCTTGCCGCTCACTTCTCTAGCAACCATCGTCCAGGAGGACTCCGGAGGTCCCAGCTAAGAAGCTGTGAGCCTCTAGCTACTCCTGACCACTCTCCTTGCCCTGCCTCTTCCCTCGCTGCTTCTCCAAAGAGGAGGAGTCCTGAGGATGGTGGGTTGTGGCGGAAGGGCTGCGTTTGCTTGAAAGGCTGTCTGTTCCTCAACACTAGATTGGTGAAATCTGGAGCACAGAGAATTGGAAACTGTTTTAGGAAGAAGTTGCCAGCTTACTTTCCATGGTGCATGCCTCCTTCAGTCTGTGTCTACCCTTGGCACAAAGCGTCATCAACATGGTCCAGAATAGCTCAGCCGGGATCTGTGTTGAGGATGGCGATGAAATCCTCATGGCAATAAAATGCATGCAATGGCGTGGCTTTGCTCTCTGTTCCATGGGCAGCTGCGGCTGGGAGTGTGACACGTGGTTGAGGTAGCACTGGATTGGGTTGTTGAGACTGCTGCATCCCAACTAAATACTATCATCTCAGTCTCTTTTCCACTGATGTACAACTAACAAAGACCCCTCAGAACAGTCAACAAAAGCCAGATCCTAGACATCTGAGTAGTTTGACCTAAAGTAGCCCATACTTAGAGAAAGAAAAATTCAGTGACTGGAAGTATTTTGTTTTCCTCCTTCCACTAAACCAGTACCTCAATCTGAACTTTCACCAATCAGGGGTGCATTTGTGTTAGTAAGCAAATAAATATCAGCTATTTTACATGTATTACTTCCCTGAAAATGTGTTTTGTTTTTTTTTTTGGTGTGGGGATAAATTAATCTAATTAATTAATTAGCTATGATCCTGGCATAAGAGCAATGGGAATGTCACGGAAAGAACCAAGAAAGGTTTTTCTGGAGTTATTCAGTACACATTGAGTAAGTACCATGTGTCAGTCATTGTGTTAGGCCCTGGAGGAAAAAAATCACAAAACAGACCTCTACTTTTTTTTTTTTTTTTCTTTTTTTGAGATGCAGTCTCACCCTGTTGCCCAGGCTGGAGTGCAGTAGTGCCATCCCAGCTCACCACAACCTCTGCCTACTGGATTCAAGCGATTCTCCTGCCCCAGCCTTCCAAGTAGCTGGGACTACAGGTGTTTCTGTATTTTTAGTAAAGACAGGGTTTTGCCATTTTGGTCAGTGTGGTCTCGAACTCCTGACCTCAGGTAATCCGCCCGCCTTGGCCTCCCAAACTGCTGGGATTACAGGTGTGAGCCACCACACCTGGCCAGAACTCTACTCTTCAGGAACTTAGTGCATCGGGTACTCAACATTAAGTGCATCACAACTAAGTGTGATGACTTAGGGGCAGGAAAAAAGGAGGCTATTTCTATCTTGGAACATTTTAATAACCTCCAAACATTTTATATGGATAAAGCTGGGTTAAAACAAATATTAAGAGGTGTCTAGGATCTAGGAGAGAAAGGATGGGGGTGGGAGCTGGAAGAAAATTGTAGGAAAGGGGAGGGTTGTTATCCTGGAGCTAGAGATGGCTTCATCCTTGTGCATCTGAGGGCTGTTTTTAAATAGTGTCTGTCTGAATCACTCCTCCGCCCTCCACCCTTCACTTTCCACCCTCCACCCAACCCTCTTCCTGAGTCACCCTGACTGCCATTTCTCACCCTGAAAGGAGAAAGAGGAAAGGATATAATTTGTATCAAATCCCTACAAGCTGCTAGGATACATTCGTACATTTCGATTGGAACGTTTCATCTACACATACCACTGTGCAATGGGTGGGAGTTCTTTTGTGTAACGATGGGGAAACTGAGGTACAAAAGGGTAGGTAGCATGACTCTCCCCTTATTACACAGCTGATAAGACAAAGTGCCATAATGCAAACTCACATTCTAAATTATATCATTAATAACGAACATGCATGCTGCTTTTTTTGAAAGTTAAAAAAAAAAGTACGTAAGTGTGAAACAAAAGTCTTTCCTTCTCTACATTCCAAAGTGTTTGGGGGCACATCCCTATGCAGTTTTCCCTTGCATACACAAATGTGTACCTACATATGTGACATATAACTGTATATGTGAACATGAAAATTTTGACATAAAAGGGCATTCTAACCATATTGCTCTATAAATCACTTCTGTCACCTAATGCTACATCATGGATATTCTTCCATAATGTCCACATCTTTACATTTACTTCATTTTTCTAAGATCTATATGAAATTTCATAAATATATATTATGTAAGTATTTTCTTATTGATGAAGATGTCTCTGTTTTGTTTTAAGGTTTAATATTAGTGCAGTATTTAATACTAAAGTATTATCTGTATCTGAGTTTTAAAATTTACTCAAATGCAAAGCACAGGAATTCTGAAATGGAAGTTTAAGTATCCTTTTCTCTCACCCTCCATTCCAACCTCCATTCCCCAGAGTTGTGCTGTTGCTGTTGTTTTGTGTTTTTCTTCTAGTACTTAACATTTTAACTTTAAATACTATAGTTCTTGATTTATCTGTTTTAGAAAGTATCTGTTGTCTTGCCTCAATGACAACTGAGTTTACTATACTTTTTTTTTTTTTTTTTTTTTTTGAGAGGGAGTCTCTCTCTGTTACCCAGGCTGGAGTGCAGTGCCATGATCCCAGCTCACTGCACCCTCCGCCTCCCAGGTTCAAGCGATTCTCCTGCCTCAGCCTCCCAAGTAGCTGATATTATAGGCGCCCACCACCATGTCCAGCTAGTTTTTGTATTTTTAGTAGAGACAGCGTTTCACCATGTTGGCCAGGCTGATCTCAAACTCCTGACCTCAGGTGATCCACCCGCCTCAGCCTACCAAATTGCTGGGATTACAGGCGTGAGCCACCACGCCTGGCCAAGTTTATCATACTTATGCTATCTCTACCTCTTTCTTTTAAATGTTAGTCATATTTATAATTTTTAAGTTATTCAGTGTAAATTTGTACTTTTCTTTAGCTATGTCTTGTGTGATTTGTCAAAAAATTTAAATTTTTGACAAAATGTCTTATGTGCTTTGTCAAAAAATTTAAATTTAAATTTTCAAAAAATGTAAAACCCAATCTCAAAAAATGTATTCTGATTATGTAAATATTACATACTAGTTCCAAGTAGTGTGATAGGATCCATAGGAAAGGAGACACTCTCCTCGGTGACTTAACCATGCTGGCTGCTTGAAGGAAAAGGACTGAGATCTAATGGCTTATGCTTTTATTTCTTTTCAGTTTCCTCCTAAGCCATACTGGTCTGCACTGTTCTTCATATATCAGGTTCAAGCTAATGGATCCAAACCAAAGGACTCCATATTCTCCAAAGCCTGTAAGCAGAATGCTGGTGTGGTGTGGGGAGGAAGAAGTTCCATTGTGTCCCCACTGAGGGGACACAGAAGTCCCAAAAGGGTCACTGAACTGCCAGGTACCAAGAGATACCAGGTACTATGAGGCTGCCAAAGGCAGAGACAGGCCAAGCCATCTACTTCAGCTGAGGTTGAGACATGGCATCCCTAAATGCCAAACAGGACATTGCAGGGAATAAGAATCAGAAAATCAGGTGTAAAACAGGAAGTCTCCCTAGAACCCACATGTGCTTATCCAAGACACCGTTATTCTCAAGCCACAGTGTTATCTATTCCCTTGCTCCGAACACCCAGATACCATTTTGGTTAGGAACAGGAGAAAGGAAAGGGAATAGAATGTGAAAGGACTGTTTGAATCAGAAGAGACTGACATATTGATATTTGTCCAGTTTCATTGTTTCTACCCGACACCCAGTAAGAAAGAGTCCTAAGAGGAACATTAGTTCATGAGACTAACTGGCTGTTCATTAAACTCACAGCTGGACTACATTTTCCAGCCTTCCTTGCAGTTAGGTGTAACCATGTGAATGGATTCTGACCAATAAAATGTGAATAGAAGTGGTAGATCCCATTTCCTGACCTGATACACACAGACCTCCCATGCATTATCCTTTATGTTCTTTTCTTTTCCACAGTGATCTTGGAAACCGTGTATTGAAGATAGTGAAGCCACAGATGGAAGGCACCTGGATCCAGTTTTAAAAGAGCTGCCTGCCAATCAGGAACACCCTTTTTGAACTTTGAGGATGTGTTTTAATTCTCATATTCCTGCATAACAAACAACTCCAAATTTAGTGGATTAAAACAATAATTTATTATAATCCCTATAAATTCTGTGAATTGACTGGGTTTAGCAGGGTGGATCTCACTTGGGGTGATATATGATTGCAGTCAGATGTGGGCATTTTTCTTTTAATTTTTATTCACTGCCTAGATCCTTTACTGGCCCCTGGGAAATACATTATTAAAAATTCATATTTTTGGCCAGGCGCAGTGGCTCACGCCTGTAATCCCAGCACTTTGGGAGGCCGAAGCGGGTGGATCACGAGATCAGGAGATCGAGACCATCCTGGCTAACACGGTGAAATCCCGTCTCTACTAAAAATACAAAAAATTAGCGGAGCGGGGTGGCAGGCCTGTAGTCCCAGCAACTCAGGAGAATGGCATGAACCTGGGAGGCGGAGCTTGTAGTGAGCTGAGATCCGGCCACTGCACTCCAGCCTGGGTGACAGAGCGAGACTCCATCTCAAAAAAAAAAAAGAATTCATATTTTCAGGCTGTCTCTGTTTCCAGGGACTCCATCCAGTGGGATTGGAATAGAGTCTGGAGATATGCAGCTTAAGCAGCACTTTTAGGAGCTGTATTCCTCTTGTTAGTTCTTCCCATTTCCTAAATCCTTAAGAACCTAGAGAATGAAAGTCAGTCTCTTTGTAGACTTAATAGGTCTAAAACTCAGCTCAAGTCAGAATGACTCCCCAGGAAACCACCTGTTTCCTTTTACAGATGACACTTTGTAGATTCTGCTCATTGAAGTGCCTGTTTCTCCTCTATACTGGGCACACACCATTGTTCTGATGCTCTGAGCTAGGTCTTCAAATAGTAGCAGCGATAAGACTTCTCTCAGTCATTCATTCCACATTCTTTTTACGAAAGTGTCCAGAGCATCTGCTTTGACATTTCAGATTTTCTGCTAGGGGCACAACGTGTCTCCCTAGTTTTACCTGAGTATAAGCGTGACCTGGGTTTTGTGTCTACTGGGCACATTTATGTAATAAAATCCTAATATAAAGCTTCCAAATATATTCATTTCCTGAGATTTGTCTTTCGCCTTAAAATATCAGCATTCTTCATTTCACATCCTTCTTGCACACACTAGTACTTCCCCCTGACCAAAGCCATTCCTTAGCCTGTAGGGATTTCTGGAAAGTGTTTGGTGCAAAACATTCTCTTCCATCTGAGAGGCAAAGAACCTTCGAGTTTAGTCTCACTCTGCCCAGCACTGTATTTCACCACACACTTAGGAGACCTACTCCTTTATGAATCACTAGGAATTCGAGAAGTCACTGAGTCCATTCAACCCTACCCTCCAGAGAGGATAAAAGTGAAACTGCTTTATTCAGGTGAACATTGATCTTATTTCTAAAGACCACTAGGGAAGAAAAGGGTGACAACGAGACTGCTCAAACACTAGCATCATCTTTTGCTGTGGTTGTATTAATTAACTGATTGACCCACAATTATTTCAAACCCGGAATCCTAATCACAGAATACAACCACCTCCCTTATTTTTGGCTGCTTTGATCTTAGCCACCCCTTCTTCAAACTCTCCACAGGAGTTCAGCTCCCTTACTTAACATTCCCAGCTCATGTCTTTTTATGACTACTGCAACAGTGATACCCTTTGCCTAGATATATTTTTCCTCCCCTGGTCATGCTCCATTTTTATCCTCCTTGAAAACAATGCTAAAAATGATCCGTCTCCAACAGCAAACCATCTAGGGAGGAACAGGAGCTGAGGAATGAGGAGGAATCTGTTCAAGGTCTGGTTAGCTGCTGCCTGGCTGTATTACCAGACAAGCAAAGACCAGAAAACTACTCTTCATTTTCTTCATCTGCAAAATTAGATGCGTGCAAATAACAGAGCCTACCCCATTGGGCTTGTGCTGCAGGCACACTGGCCTTCTTTCAGTTCTTAGAAGCGTCCTCTCCTACCACAGGGCTCTTGCAAAAGAGCTGTTCCCTCCCCATGGAACATGGGGCCCTTCCTCCATCCTCTGCTCTGGTGAATGCCCTTGATCAATTAAGTTGACACTTCCTCAGTGATGAGGCCAAATGTCCCTTTCATGCCACTACGTACTTCACTTTCAGGGCACTGATCACAGTTCCAAATTTATGTTGATTTGTGAGATTATTTAATTAACAGCATTCTTCTATAATAGACCATGTGTTCCATGAGAGCAGACACATCTGTTTTCTCTCACCAGTTTATATCCAGCACACAGCACTCAATAGATATTTGTGGAATACATGAACATAAATAAATGAATAATAGTTGTACAAATAAAGGAGACTGTGCAGGCCAATCATTAGCACTGTATTATTAATATTATCTTTTCCAAAGCAGCATTTATAATAATAATACCAACTATAAGGATCACAAGGACTATAGGGGTAAAGTATACGAAAGTTGTTTGTAGATTATAAAACACTAGACACATGTTTGCATTTTGTGGTCATTGAAATCTCATAGTTCTTTTTCCTGCAAACACCACAGTGGTTCCCTGCACAGCCATCTAACACATATCTACACTTGGAGACACCCGTGCTTCTGTCACCTGTTATGTGCCTGGTTTACCTATTAATTGTCCTCATAAAACAAATTACAAGCCATACAGCAATAACACCACCGTTTGAAGAAGTGACACATTTTAAGGAAATGGCTCTCTTAGAACTCAGACACTGCAGCTCTTGTTACGGAGTAGGCCTTGTCACGAGAGAGTGAGGCAAGCAAAGAATTCTTGAAATTCTTGAAAGGATGCAGGGCTGGGGAAACTGAACTGGAGATGGTTAATTTTATGTGTCAATGTGACTGGGCCACAGTGTGCCCAGATATTTTGTCAAATACAATTCTAAGTATTTCTGTGAGGGTGTTTTGAGATGAGATTAAATCAGTAGAGAGAATAAAGCAGGTTGCCTTCCCTAAGATGGCTTCTTACAATCAGGTGAACAGAAGACTGACCCTGTCCTGAGTAAGACAGAAATCCTCCTGCCTGAGTCCCTTTCAACAAGTCCTGCCTTTGGACTTGAACAGAAGCATTGGCTTCTCTTGACTCTCAAGCCTGCTGGCCTTTGACAGAAAGTCCACTATGTGCTGTCCTGATTCTCAGGCCTTCAGATGTGGACTGGAACTAGACTACCAGCTCTCCTGGACTTCTAGCTGACCCGCCATGCAGATCTTGAGACTTGACTGCCACCATAATCACATGAGCCAGATCTTTATAAATTATCATAATATACATACAAATACACACACACACACACACACACACACAAAATTGGTTTTTTTTCTCTGGAGAACCCTGACTACTACAGCTGGTTACAGATGCTACTCCCAGCATTTGTGAAGGTCAAGCTCAGTGCCCAAAAGCAGAAGCTCATGAGAAAGGTTTCAGCAGTCGTCGGCACTGGTGTATGATCTGGTAGATGCTGCAGCATGAACACAAATGGATCAGGTTCAGTTACATCAAGTTGCTCCTAGTGTTTCAGTCAACCACAGCAGGATGTGTGGTTGAAGTCTCACCAGTGGTTGAACTCACAGGGACTTTAGGAAAAGGAGTAACTGCACATTAGAGATGGCCTCAAACTCTGACAATCTTCCCATGAAGAGATGGAGTCTTTGTCCCCTCCCCTTGAAACTGTGGCAGACTCTGTGACCAATAGAATTTTTCAGGAGTGTTGTTGTCAGTTTCTGAGCCCAGGCCTTACAAGACTCACAACTTCCAAATTCTGTCTCTTAGAACATCCCCTGAAGAAGCCAGGGTCCATGTAAGAAATCCACCTACTCTGAGACCTTCATGCATGAGACCAAGCCACAATGCTGTGACTAGGCCCTGAAAGATGAACCTAGGTTGAGAGAGTAAGAAGGAGAGGAGCCAAGGGACACCAAGGTAATGGATATATATGCAAGTGAAGAAACCATAGTTATATGAAACCACTGCATTTGGGGGTAATAGGTTATGCAGCAATAGATAATTAAAACAGTAGTTAACTGGCAAGAGAGAAGAATCCAAGCCCAATCCTGCTTTGATAAGGCTGGTGAGGTTCAGGAAGTGCTATAGACCTAAATGGAGATTGGTCTTTTAGGTAAATTATCAGGCTGTCCACTAAGGAGGAAAAAGCTAAAAAGATGACTCAGGGTTACTTGGCACTAGCATTTCCCCAGACTCTGGATATGCAGTTAACACAAGCCCGCCAGAAGGTAGGGCTAAGCCAGTTGCTGCACTTCCTGGCTGTGCAGGTGAGGAACTGTTAGAGACTGAGCTCAGCTCAAGGTAGAACCAATCAGGATGCCAGCATGGAGTGGGTAGGAGGAGGGAGGCAGAGAGAGAACACGAGCGAGCACAAGAGCGTATAGGCATGAGGCATTGTATAAAGATTAGGGGAACAATATTAAGAGTTGTGAGTTCCAATAAGCTTATTAAAATAAATTAGCCAGGAGTAGTGAGGCGGGTGGGGGGCACCTGTAATCCCAGCTACTCAGTAGGCTGAGGCAGGAGAATCGCTTGAACCCAGGAGGTGGAGGTTGCAGTGAGCCAAGATCATGCCATTGCACTCCAGTTTGGGGGACAGAGCAAGACTCTGTCTCAAAATAAATAAATAAATAAATAATTTATCTTTATTAGACTTGGAATATTTATATATTACTACTAATTCTTTTAAATTACTAGTGTATTGAAGGCAACAGTTATACTTAGTCTTTTTATATCCTTCACAAGGTAGAGTTCATATGTTACAAAGTTTAATGTGGTTTTGTTACCAAAATCCAAATTTCTTTTGTCCTCTCTGAGCATCCCCTTGCTTATGAAAGTCTCAGCAGTGTGTGAGACATGAAACAGAGAACTGCAGGCCACTGAGGTCTCAAGGGATCAAGTTATTTATACGAAGAGCGAGAAGGGAGAAAGACTAGTTTAGTTCACGGTATTAAATGGAACTAAGAAAAAATGAAAGTTTTTGTGCAGCCAGCCTAGATTATTTTGTTTACTAATCTGCTATAGTCGTTTTCATAAAATGTTTAATTATAGCAAGACACAAGTTTAATAATATTTAAAAGTAATACAAAATTAGCCAGTCCAAGATTCCAGATCCAATACATGCCAGTTCTGTGAAGAATCTGGTTTTTGTTTTGTTTCGCTTTGTTTTGTTACAAACCAAGTTGAAAATAGAGCAAAGAGCTTGCCAAATTTAAAGCATTAGAACTCCTTAGAAAAAGAAACAAAATCATGCATATCTCACACTTAGGGAATTATTTATTTCCAGCCTAAAGACTCT